GTATCACTATTGGCCTGTCAAGTCCACAGTGGTCACTAAAAGTAATTTCTGCAATACCGGACACTAGCTGATCTATTTTAGGCCCACTAGTAGTGTGGCTCCAGGGATGGCAATGTTGGTCAGTCCACCACTTTGGTCCTAGCATGACTCTAGTCTTGTTAACACAACAGGAAATGACAGAAAGACAGGACTACAACCATATATGTATATATATATATATATGATATGACATGTAAGAGTAAAGAAGAAGTAAATATAAAGAATCTAAATATGAAAAAAATAAATCTTTATTATCAAATATGTATTAGGCTACAAGTAAAAAGAAAACAGGAATGTAAAAGTTGCAGTTAAAAATAGTTTGGAGGCATTTTAGTTTCTGTCCCATGACATAATCTCTCCATGTTACTGTAACATGATGATAGTGGGCCTTAGTAAGAGGAAACAGAGAATGAGAAGAGGGTGCAGGTATAATGAAACTATACATACAGATAGATACATGAATTAGTGTAGATTCCCTGCATTAAACACAGCGATCCAGCTATCTATCGAAATTTTTTGTAACTTAAAATACTCCTCAGATGGAGTGATGCTGAGAGAATAAACCCCATTGTGCTCTGTGCAGTTAAATTTGCATGAAAACAAATTTCTACTCCTCAACTTTCTTCATTTGAATTATACTGCAAATGAATTATTTATATGCTCATTTTTCAACAGTTGAGTCTGTCTTATATTAACAGTTATTCCCATATTTCCATTCAGCTGGAGAGTACTTGTCATTTTTATGTGTGTGTGTGTCGGTGTATGAGCATAGTTTGTGTACACAGGTCTGGTGTTTTAAATAGATAAGTTGGGACATTTGCCTGCGACTGATTTAGAGTAACTGTGGTCTAGTGTGTCCGTTAAAGATGGGGGGGGTGGTGAGAGAGGGGGGAGGCAGAGCGACGTAGGCGTTGAATGGGGTGTTACGAGGAAGTTGTGTGAATACTGTTTTTATTCACATGTACTTCCCCTAATTTGTCCATGCTGCACTGTATGCTTGGTCAAAGCTATTTTCACCTATTAAATTTCAACCAGTGTGAGATTTCAAAGGCTGATACTGTTTTCACTAATATTTGATGCCACTAAGGCTCATATTTATGCCATCATGGCAAAACTCTGCGTTCGTGTTTTCATCGTTTTTGTATTTGTGTGTTGTTGTGTGTGTACCTCTTCCACTGCGGCCAACAAAGCGCAGGTCGTTGAATCTGGCCACTTGGTTCTTGATGGCGGCCGTGGCATTTCGAAGCTCAGCTGAGTAGTTCTCATCGTTTCCCGCCATCACTGTCACCAGGGTCCCATCAGGAATGTCGCCCAGGGCAACCACCTAGTGACATGACAGAGGAAAGGAAGAGAGAAGATAGGGGTTTGGATGAATGCTCATCAGTCTCTCCAAAAACAACGTCTTCTGTTTGATAAAAGTAAATGTAAAGTGTCTACTGAGGCTGAACAATAAGCTCACATCCAGACTTCTCAGTGTTCTGGTGTCCTAAGCAAACTCTCATTCAGCCATTGATGTTGTAGGACAGCTTTTATTATCAATCTGAAATAGGGTTTTCAGGTTGCCGCATGTTTTCTGTCTATGAATGGATAGAGGAGAGAGTTTCTCTGAGCTCTTATATACAAAAATGTATTGATAGTACAAAACAAAAAAAAGATCTTATTTATGTATTGGTGGAAATGTTAAGGCAAAAACGCTGATGCTAAATTGTCATTACTGTAAGATGATGCAGGGTATTCACATTATTTTGCATTCTTCACAAACTGTCACTAAACCACAACTTTCACCCAACTATGTCAACTGTTTGTTTTTGGAAAGTCATTCTGCATTAGCAGTTCCTGTTTGAATGTAGACAACAATCAGGATTAATGTAGGTACTGAAGAGAAACATCCAGGCCATGATTATGAGACAAGATCTGAAGTTATGAGGATTTATGTTCATCTGGATGTTTATGGATATCAGAGATACAAAAAGATCCCCCACACACACACACACGCAAACACACAGTACAGTCTAGTTCCAAAGACACATTTGTGGCTGCAATCACGTAGGCCTACTTGCTTTATGTTAGCACATCTATAATAATCAGTTAATGACATCAATAATATCCAAATTTGTGCACATGACCCATTATGACAGAGATATAGAAAAATAAAAATGCATGGCAAAAATATTATTAACTTATTGTCAATCTTTTAGAGACAAATCATGTTTTACGGGGAGCTCATGTCTTATTAACCCTGGCTCCCCTGTAGTTCACGCCCTGCACATTCACACAGAACAACCACAGTCTAATGTGTCGGTCACTTAGCAGCTCCACTGGGCCTCTAACCATCAGACGATAACAAAGTTTGACTCATGCTTTTATCCTGCTAGATCCAAAGTAAATGAAGGTGGACATGAAATGCTAATGGGTTAGCAGATTCTCTATCTGGCATTAAAAAGGTCACTAAGAGAAACAAACAGCTTTAGGCTATTTGAACCTTCAAATTTCATGTTAAAACATACAAATTATGAAATAAAATAATGGAAGATGAAACTCTGCCAAAACACATGCGTAAAATTGCAATGTGTGCCACTCTGTGAGCGCACTAGAGAGCACATTCTCCTCCTCCACACCTACGCAAATACACAGCCAGGGAAGCCGATTTCCATATTAACGCTAATCGCACCAAACCATCAGTGTGCAAATGACCACAGTAGATACCATACTATGGACAGTTTCTCTTTTAACCCCGAGCTCTCCAAGCGAGTAACCACAGTCCACGATAACTGGGACACTTTGGGGTTAACCTCTCAGTTAAACCTAGATTCCCCCTTAAAACGTCCTCTTAAGTCCCCTTTAAGATCAAACAAAAGCATTGTTTTACAGTAATATTGAATATTTGTCTAACTCTATTGTTTAGTGGCCTTGAATGTGAGTGAATGTCAATGTGCTGAATTTCCAATAATCCACCAATGACAGTATTGATCTGAGCCTGTGGTGGAATGTGACTGGATAAAATTCTTCTGTAATAGTAAAGCAGAGGTGACTCACTGGGTTT